AATGGAAACAAATAAGAAAGGAAAAAGACAAATACCCTTATTTTCAGATGATATGTTATAACACATAAAGGACCCTAAATTTACCATCAGAAAACTCTCACAGATGATAAATATATTCTGCAAAGTAACAGTATTCAAAGTAGTATACAACAACCAGTAGGTTTCTTACACCAACAAAAATTATAATGTAAAAAAAAAAACATTAAATAATTCAATTTACAATAGCCTTCAAAATGCTTTGGAACTAGTATAAGGAAAGAAGTGAAAGATTTATGTAATAAATATTTTAAACTTTTTTATGTTTTTCAAAATCCCATAGATGCTTTCAAGTAAGACTTAAAAGAAAAAAAGTTAGGAATACATGTTATACGTTATTTTAGCATATTCTGTTACTATTCTCTGTGTCTCGTGTAGCTTTTCCCTCTTAAAAATCACCCCCTTAAGAAAGGTGAAAAAAGAACTAGAGGAAGCTGCTAGTAGATACAAAGACTGCTCATGCTCATGACAGGGCAAAACTAATATTGTAGAAATGGTAATTCTATCAAAAGCAATCTACAAATTCCTCAAAATTTCAATTATAATTGCAAGTCTATTCTTCACAGAAACAGGAAAAAAGTGCATGGACAAGTTAATCCTTCCCAGCAATAACACTGCTGGAAATATTATCATCCCTGATTTCAACCTGTACTGCGGAACCATAGCAAAAGACCTCATGGTAGGGAAAAACAAAAAGAAAACAGAATCATGGATCAATGCAATTAAATGGAGGATGCATATATAAAGTAGGTGGGTTTTTGACAAAGAGACCAAAAATGCACAGTAGAAAAGAGGTAGGTACTTCAGCAAAAAGTGCTATAAAAACTGTTATCTACCTGCAGAAGAATAAAACTAAATCTTCTCTCTTTGCATACAAAGAAATCAAAGAATGGATCAAAAACTCAAAATAAAACCTTAAACTCTAAAACTGATGGACTAAATAATAGAGAATATCCTGTATGATATAAGGAAATGTAAGGACTTTCTAAATTGGACCAGCCAAAAACAAACATCACACGTTTTCTTTCATACATTGTCCCAGTTTTGAATCTTTCATTCTGTATGTTTAAGCTGGAGCAATTGTAGAAAGAAGGAAACTAGAAAGGGGCCACCAGCAGAAACATAATAAGGGGAAGTGGCTAATAGAACACAGGTGATAAAAAAACAAACAAAAGGAATATTGGGGGAAGAGAGGTTCAGGTAGGGATGGGTGAGTGAGCTGAGAAGTATGGAAGGAAGGCTCACTACAGTATTTATAACAGCATTTAAAAACAAGCCTTATGGAAACCTACTATTAGCTCTCTTTTCTTTAACAAATATTCTATCCATCAGTCTTAGAGGCTTGCCCATTTTCAAGATTTAACAGCTAGTGTAGATAAGTGATTGAATTGTCTGTTGGTTATAAAACAATACACTGTTGCCAATCCTTCTCTCCTCTGTTCACACAATGTTACCATCACCAAGCTTAGACTTCAATTTATAATCCTCTAAAATGTTGAAAGTTTTTTCACTTAGTGCTTTCTCTGCCTACTTTTGTGAAATAGAAATGATTTTAACTTTAGGACTCATTATTCTTCACAAACAACAATTTTTTTTAAAAGACTTTATCAATCTTTATTAATTTAAACACATTGACCTTTGGGTTTATGTAAAAATAATGATGAGGAAGAAAAAAGACAAATGCATGGGGCATAGAAAGAAATGAACTGAGGACAAGAGCAGAAACAAATATAGAATGATAGAGGACATATGTGTGTGTGTTTCATCTTCTGGACACCCAGGAAGGTAGGTGCACACTCTTTTCCGTCTTGAGAACTGTTGTCTTCTGATCCATCTTAGGATGTTCTGGATGTGGTCGACTTTTATAAATGTTATCCTGTGTATCTTTTCAAAAGACTTATTGATAAATTGAAGTTTATGCAAAAGAAGGTGACAAGAATAGTGAGATTTCTACAAACTTATCATGCGAGAAATGAGTACAATATGCGGTGCTATTGAGGATAAAGGAAGCTTCATATCCTGGTGTGGCCATGACAGCTTCCCTCAGTGATTTGGAGAAATGCCATCTATATATTGCATAGTTATAGAAACCAATTCTTGGACCAAGGTATAACAATTTTTCCAATAATCAGAGCAGTTCATTCAGTTCAGCTGGGGCTAAGAGAGTTGCACTCTAAACCATCTTGTGAACACCAAAATCCTCATAGTGCTAGCTGATGGAAGGGGTAATCTACACCTTTCATGACTTGAAGGTTGGGTGGTTATCTCTGGCACAAACAACTTCCTAGTGGATGACAATCAAACTTTAATAGGCAATACTCATTTGGCACATCCAGGTGAAGAGTATTTTAGGAAAGACTACACTTTAAAAAAAAAAGTGGATTTTCTAGAATCCACTGCTTATGTCAAGGCAACTGAATAAATTCTCAGGCTACAGATAGAACGGAGTCTATTGTCTTAAGGTAGATCTGCCTTTTCCCTATCTCCCTTACCAGATTCTGAAGCTTTTCCTACACCAGTGGAAAAGTTCTCGAGGAAACTTGTCTGCAATTGATCTGTGTGAAAAAAAATAGAATGTATTTAAAATAACCCTTTATCCTACAATCTTTTTAGGTTAACAGTGTATATTCAGGGCAACTTAGGTGACACGGGCATAATTTAATGAGGTGCGGCTATGAAAGTGCTAGAAAATGAATCAAAGTGCAACTTTATGCCAGAGGTTTTAGAACAAAAATGAAGCCATGTTTTGGTGTATTTGAAATAATGTCACAGCCAGGCAACACATATAATAAAGATATTCTTTCACTTTTCACCTTGATTAGAATAGAAAATACATATTACATTGGGTTTGTGTGTGTGTGTGTGTGTGTGTCATGAATCTGACTCTAGTTACAGCTTGATCTTTTATCTTTTTTCTCCTCTCACTAAAGCAGCAGTCAAAGCTCATATTTAGATTTAATAGAGATTTCATTGAGCACACTAGTTCTGTGATGGAGTCCATTTTATTAGACTCTACACTCGATACAAAGCATCAATTGCAGAGGGTCACACTGCATCTTTCTAGCTGTCACACCAATATCTTCCTGAGTGCCATCTGCAATGTCTAAGGCTCTTTATTTATACTGGAACTCATTTAGTTTGATACAAGCTATTTTCAAAGTGCCTGAAGTACACAAAACTACACTTTATCACCAGACAGTCCATTGCTGCGAATATAGCTAGCAAGATTTTCCTTGGTCTTGAAACTCTAGACAAATGGTGATAATACCTATGAGGAAAAGCAATCTTATTCTCATAAAACCCATAAGAAATGATAGCAAGAATGTGGATCAAAGACAGTTGAATACATTGTACTTATGCTTTGTTAGAAACCAGAGGTCAGTTCCTTATTTTTTTTAACCCACAGCCATGTAACAGTTTTGGTAATAGACTAACAATATTTAAGGATCTAATCTGATAAAATTGGTGAAGGGACTTATATATGAAAAAGAGGCAGTGCTGCTGTTGGTAAAGGTAAATTGCTTAGGAAACTACATCTGACCTAGAAGCAAGAGCTTCAGTGGTCAGAAATAGGCTCAGCAATGTCCTTCCTTACAAAAAGTCTACCAGCTGTTTATCAAATGGCACATTACTTAAGGTCATGAAAACCTGAAAGGAGGTGTTAAATACTAAAAGAAATAAATAAGTTAAGCGGTAAAAAAAAAAAAAAACTGGACAGGAAGCAAGGAAACATTTGAGAAAGAGACTAGGCAGAAAAGAAAGTGACCTCCAAGGAGTCAGAAGCAGGGCAATTACTTCTCTAAGATGTTATTCTAGGGGCATGACAACTCGTAGGTTCTTACTCAGAGGAAGGGGTCTCTGTTTCTGTTGAAACACACACACATGCCTATGTGCAGCCTGTGTTTTCCCTTTGTACTCATCCAAAGGTTTCTCTGTTTTTTATTCTTTCACACACGTCATAAAATGTTTTCACACTTGCTCTTAGAAACAATACACTTTTCAGAAAAATAGATTTTCAAACATAACCAAAACTAAGGTGCTCTGACAAAGGGCCACTTGGCTGTTTCCTTTCAAAGAAATAGCTTCAAATAACATTTAAAAATTTCAGGGAAAGATGAAATGATAGGATGGGTCTCTGGAGTAATGAAAACAAGATGAATCACAATAGACTATTGGTTAGACTATATCTGTCCTGTTTTGTTAAAATTTCTTGATTAGATATTGAATCCAAGTGAAACCAATTTTAACATACAATGATAATAGAAAATGTTTGCAGGTACCAATTAAACTCACATGAAATTATAACATTACGTAACCTATTGGACAATAGAAATTCAATGTGAATACTGAAATCCTGCTTATGAAGTAACTTTTAAAAATTCCCCCAAATCTGATTTTATAAACACATGTGAATAGTGTGATTCAGTAGTTAGCATGCGCTTCAGGAATGATGCAACAGTAGGCAAAGGGGAAAACTGGTCATGGTGGATATGACACACCTAGAATCCTTTCACAGGGCCATTAATCTCAGCACTAGGAAAGCAGAGACAGGCTGGTTTCTGAGCTTTATGCTGGCATGGTTTACCTATCTTCCAGGAGATGCAGGGTTAAATAGTAAGACCCTGTCTCCAAATATATATATATATTTATGTATGTATATATATATATATATATATATATATATATTTCAAAATATATGTATGTAAATGGTAACTCAGGTTGGTTTTGCACTTTAGATATGCCTACCTTATTCTTCTAACTAATAAAAACACTAACGTATACCTCGGTGATAGAGATAAGTATAAATCCAGATCCTCGATAAATATGGCAACATATTGCCCTCAAAATGGAAAATCATAAAGTGGGTTAATTACTATTATTGTTTAAAAAGTTTGTAAAACCAGGAAAAAGTAAATGAGTTCCAATGGTTGAAGCATCATGTCATTTTCTCCCCCCTACCCCAGCACAGTATGATAATTAAAAACAAGAGGTCCTAAGAGGAAGAGCCTAGGTGGCCACCAGCAGTATGAGGAGCCCAGTAGGAATTGGTAAGTGAACAAATGAGACCCTGTGCTTTCTTTTTTACACATCATGACTTCTGTTGGTACTGTTTTTCATTTGTTTGTTTTCTAAGTGCAAAAAGTCCCATGACTGATGGCAACCCGAGATTGATTGTAGAAATGACATATGCTTCTAAGATTTAGCCCATGAATTTTCTATGATCTGGAAGATATCTGTCTCATTGAAATTGTGTTACCTTTGCTTAGTCTGTCCATCAAAATCCTCCTTCCCATTTCCCCCAGCCCTTGCTAACCTATTCTACATTCTAGTTCTATTACTGCAATCCTTATAAACCTTGCATATGACTAGGCTCATGTAGCATTTGTTTTCTTTTTCCTTGGCAAGTAAAGTTCAGTTTTCCAAGGGAAAAAGAGCAAGTTTTGTCTGGGAATAGTAAGAACCTGTTAGAAATTGGTAGAGATTTAAAGTATCAGTGTGATCACATGGAAATGTTTGCATTTATGGAAATTTGGTTTCTTCCTTTCCTAGCACAGATTATGCTTAACTGGTTAGATTTCTTAAGCATTAACCAAGAAGGTACATACCAACAGTCTAGTGGTTTCCTCTGCATGTGAAAAGAACCTAAATACAGTAGGTCGGCTCATGCTGAGTGTTTTCTACATGCCAAGTAATGCATTCAAGATACTTTACTATTTTGCTTTGATTAACCCTCACTGAACTGAAAGGTTGTAGGTATAATGACCCTTGCATTAGCAGATGAAGAAACTTCACTGTCAACATGTCAGCCGATTGCCTTGGAATCCCCTTATTCCCTGATAGCTTTCGGATCCATTTCTTGCTGGTGACATTTTCTGCTTTTCCTTGGATTTATAAAACCAACACTTTGGAATAGTTAAGATATATTAAGCTTTTAGCTGAGATGCCATGCTATTTTCCAAAGGGTAATTACTTGGAATATGATGCTTGTGTATTCATAAGAGCTCCTCTTGTAACTTACAAATAGCTTATAGGTATGTAAATTCATCAGTTATTCACGCACTGATAAGAAAACAAGGTGGGATTCATTCTTTCATTTCTCGGAGCTAGGGAAGCTAGGAGACTAAGAGGTCAACTGGCTCACTGGGTATCTTACTGCTCTGAGCTTCTCAGACTTTCTATACCTCAGGGTCAGTATTTATTTTACATCACCAGACTGAATGTGTTTGTAAGACTATGGAAAAGTATTTGCCGGAGATGTGAGATGATTTGAAACCAGGAGGTACAACATCCACTTTCAATTCTCATCTCAGTTATCTTACAAGTACAAAATAACTCTATTACATTTTTGGAAATGTTTTTAACTCTTCCTCTCAGAGTCAACATTCCTCATGGTATAGTCAGGGGACTACAGACAGACACCAGCCTGTGGACCGTAGAGAGCTAAGTGGTCAGCAGCAAGAGAGGAACACCAGGCAAACCTAACTATGAGCTCTACCTTTGAGTGTCTAGATCACGTCTGCTCCTGTTACGTTAGACAAACCTCAACACACAGCAAGGATTCTGTCTTTTGATCTATGGAGGGAGAGAGAAAATTGAATTTCAGCTTGTTAAAATGAAGCTGGTGTAAGGAAAGCGACAAGGACAACAGTCTTGGAAAGAGACGCTTCAACCAATTGACAGGAAGCGAAAAAGCCCTTGGCATTCACAGGAATGACTTCTAAATTTCGATTTATGACATCAACACTTCTAAAATTTGTGATATACTGTTCGATTGCTCAAAGAGGTTTGATTCCTTTTTTCCCCCATTTATATTCAGAAGACTGGACCTTGTCAGTTCCCCAAACACTGCAGACTTGTGTATCATTTTAAAAGTGGTCTTTGGCCTGCTCTGAAATAAAAACAAAGCAGGTTTCCCCACTACACTGGAGAGGCTTGAAAATAAATGTTACTTGTTCATTTCAAAAACTACCAGAGAAAACCGAAGCACTTTTGTGTGCAAAGTGAAACACACATTGAAGCAGCAGTGAGAATTTACTTTGCTAGATGAGTTTTGTAGCTTTCTAAATTCTACTGAAATGGATCAAGTATTTACATATACTATTTTATTAATTACTGTTTTAGTACTGTACAAAAATATTACTGCACATATGCTCATAAATAGCTTTTGGTTTGTGTATGGGACAAAGATCTTAGGTCATGTTGCTTGTTGCTCTACCAGAAAGCTTAGACACTGAAAATAGGAAGGAAATAACTCATTTACATCTTGGACCAGAACTGAAGGCAGAGAAGTTCTGAATCTTTCTCAGCCTTGCCTGTAATTGTGTTAACAATTTATATTTAAAATGGTAAAAACAACCCCTGCCCCTGGTTCTTATGCTCTTTCTACCTCCTTTTCCGTGTGGCTCCCTGAGCTCTGAGGGGAGTTATTTGACGGAGACATCCCAATTAGAGCTATGTGCTCTTTCTCTGTGTAATGTCAAACTATGGGTCTCTATATATTTATTCTCATCCATTGCAGTAGGAAGCTTCTCTGATGATGGCTGAATAAGGCAGAGATCTCTGAGTATTGCAGAATATAACAAGGAAACATTTGGTTACTATTTTTTTTTTAAGACCAGTTTTTTGGTTTTGCCCTAGGTCTATGAGCTATCTAGTCTGGTTCTTGCTTATCCAAGCAGTGTCAGGTATGACTTCCATCCTGTAGAAAAGTCCTGAAATCAAACCAGATGTTGATTGATTACTCTCACAAGCTTTGTACTGCCATTGCCCTACATAGTATACAGGCAAGTACAGCATCGTTTATCAACGTTTGTGGCTAGGCTGGTATTTGTGAGGTTCGTTGTTGTTTGTTTGTTTTTGGTAGCCTTTAGAGTACTTTTTCATATCAAACACTAGAAGGCTAGTGTGAAGGCTCCATGTAGGCACCAGGTCAGCCTCACCATGTTCAGTAAGTTGTGTGGATGTTGTCTTCAGTTCTGGGACCTTGCTCTCAGTTTGTGGAGAGAAACATGCTCTTGGCAACAGCCTGTGTTATTTGGAGATTTCCAAGGGATCTCTTTGGCCAACAACTCAATTAAATGGAACCCAGTGCCAGCACCAGAAGCTTCATTTGGTGACAAGATATGGCCAGTAGGGAGACTTTACGAGGATTGCCTCATATATTTTAGAAAGTTTCCACTGCACTAAGTTTCCATAAACCCCCCAATGCCCCTCAATTCTAGCTGTCTCTCCCTGCATTCCCTTCCTCAAACCTATTTCCTCTCTTGCTTCCCACCTGATCCTCCCATTCCTGTCCCCAATGATTAATTTTCCACTATGCTTATAAAAATATAATACCACTCAGACAGGAAACATACTTTGACCAAAATTATTTAAGTGACACTTGATGCTTTCCAACAGGTGTCTCAGTCTTCCTAAAGTAAACCATTTCCTGAGATTAAAGTACAGATTTTTCAGTCTTCTTACACTTTCATAGAAGTAAAATAATAATAGTTTCTGCTTACATTGTGTATGGATTTTGCTCTCAATATTATATATGCTAGATCCCTGTGTGTGGCGGTAATTTAGTTCTCAATGTACTCCATCATGAAAAATTAATAGCTTTTAAATACTTATGTGTGCTTTCTGGAATTTTATGTGAAAATCTTAGCTGTACAACTTGTTTTGTGGTTTGAGAATATATTTTTATTTTTAATAACAAACATTTTATTAATTTTTAGACTTTCATACACTATTTTTTTATTATATTCACTGAACACTCCTTTCTCCACTTCCTCCCAGACCCAATCACCTCTTCCTTACAATCCTCCATTTTGATAGGCTAGACTATCTCAGAGCAAACAACCTGGTCCTGTGGCTTTTAAAATCTTTCTGTCCCTTCTTTATAATGTTCCCTGAGCCTTAGGTGTAGAGGTTGTTTTGGAAATGTATTAAATGGATCCAGGCACCCCACTGTCCTCTGTTCTCTACATTTTGATTAGTTGTAGCTTTCTTGTAATGATCTCTGTCTACTGCAAAAAGAAGTTTCTCTGATGAAACTGTGGGTATGTGGGTAAGTCGAATGCAGTTGAAATTCGCCTGGTTCGAGAGGGGGCCATAGAAAGTTTATCTTCAATAGATACTGCAACTTCTGCAAATGGGAGAATTTAGAAAAAGGAATTCAGAGGTATGGCAGCAACCACACAGCCCTTGGAGGTCCACAGCTCTGGAGTTCTTTCTCACTTTCATTTAATGAATTTCAGTAAAGGGCTGTAGAGATGGGTCGATGGATAAGAGTACAGGGTGTTCTTCCAGCAAGCCGGAATTTGATTTCTTACACACACTTGACACTCATATCCATCTGTGATTCTTGTTCCCAGGAATGTATGCCCCTTTCTGGCTTCCACATGCATTGCATAGACATGGTACGCAGACATACATGCAAATATAATGTTAAAAAAAATGAAGAGAAACAGGGGCTGTCTCTGATGTGAACTCAGTGGCTTTGATCACCTCATCCTGGGAAGGGGGACATGTAGCCTTATCAGGCCACAGAGGAAGACATTGCAGCCAGTCCTGATGAGACCTGATAGGCTAGGGTCAGATGGAAGAGGAAGAGGACTTTCCCCATCCGTGGACTTGGAGAGGGACATGGAAGGAGATGAGGGAGGGAGGGTAGGATTGGGAGCAGATGAGGGAGGGGGCTACAACTGGGATGAAAAGTGAATAAATTGTAACAAATAAAAATATAAATTATATAAACGTAAATAAATTTTAATAAATCTATATTCACTCTGCATTGAAAAAGGAAATATGGATGCTTTACTCTGATATATTGAATACCCAATCTGAGGAGATTAATAATTTTAGTTGACATAAGTTATATAAAAACTGGAGGTCATTAAATAAATGCCAGCCTGACAACTCCTTTAGCTTAAAATTCAACATTTCTTATTTATCCAACTTTTAATTTTTTCCACCAGCTAATTGATGCTTAGCAATCCATCAATATTTTCTTGTCTCACTTGGTACCAACCAATCTCATAGCAGTGGAATCACAGCTGAATAG